CAGCTCAGCTCCAAGTCCAGTAGCTACTTTCAATCTAGTTGAATAATTATTCTGAATAATAACTAAAAAATTCAAGACAGTGATCCTTTTGCTAGAAGACAGAGGGATAGGATGTGAAGAGGGTGGGGCAATATGGGGTGGGGAAGGCTTAAAGGTATCAGTAATAACCTATTGCTTAAGTTGGATTATAAGTACACAGGTATTAAGTTTATTACTACTTAAAACTGTACACGTTAGTCTCCTGTATTCTTTTGTATGCATGAAATTTTTATAAACTATTTTTAAAATAAAAAAGGAAAAAGAAAGCTACTGGTTGGACTTACGAAACATGAAAACCTTGTAAGTTAAGGAGTTTTCAGACATGCTCATTTCATACACCAGATGCAATAACTACTGTTGAAATGCCATACTTCAGCATAGCTTTGTGAAATATTTGGCCAAAGAGAGGCGGGAAGTAGGATCTCTGATTTGAAAGTACGAAGGCACTATTACTTCTGGAAAAGAGTATCTGAGGGCATTCGCCGGGAGGACAGTGTTGCAGAGCTGGGAGAGTGCAGTGAAGGTCGACAGCATGGTCTGACGGCTCCAGCAAACACTTGCTGACTGCTTCAGCTCTGATCACAACTTTAATGCTTTCCCCTCAGAAAGTCTCAGCCGAGTCCAATGGAAGAGTGGACTCACACTCCAGGTATATCAGAAGAGAAGCTAATGGGAAAAGATTACATTTTGAAGCAAAACTTCCTTATAAGCCAATGTTACTAGGATATTTACATTCTCCCAAACTGAGGATACCTGTCTACCCATTTTAGAAGTTATTTGAAGTGAATATCATCAAGCAAATTCAAGCAAGCGGAATATCCTTGTTACTTACCCATTTGGAATACAATTTGATCTCAACTCTTGGCACATAACTGACAGCCTTCATCATGACATCATAAACATTTAGAAGGATGTGTATATAGTCATCGAATTCAGGTTCAAACTTAATGGTGTCATTATCAAGAATCAGCCTCACGATGAAACCTGGATGTTCAAAAGCTCTAATAGAATCCTGAAATTATAAATATACATATATATGAATATACATACGAATCGTGATAGACTAANAGATAAAACATAGATGTTTCTTCAAGAAGACTGGTTAACGGTAAAGGAGAGAGAAATAGCACAACGATGATGTTGGCTCGAAGTGGGGGTTGAAAGATGGAAGAGGGTTTTGAACATGTTTGTAAATTTCAGAAGTAGAATCAACAGTGAAAGAGAAATTTAAAGGGATGGAAAGCAATGTAGCTGAGCTCATAGGTAGAGAGAACTTTGAATGCTTTCTGGGAATGTGGGGAGACAGGTATGAAAGACTCTTGCTTTCTGATTCTTACTTTCTGAGCACATGGGGAGACAGGTATAAAAGGAGAGGTGAGTTGAGACATATAGGGGCAAGAAGTTGAGGGCATTCATATCTAGTGGTTCCTATAATAGTCCTGATGTGTCCTCTGTACATCTAGTGAGTCTGGTGAAAGGCATTATTAGGAGAAAAGGGGGAAAAATGGAACTGGCATGATCTCAGAGGGCAGTTAAGAGGCAGGGAAAATAGCTGTGAAATTAAAATAAATATTTCACTCAGCATGGAAAGCTACAAGTAACAGACATTTTCACTATTCTTCCATTACTTTTAGAGGAAAAGATGCTTTAAGCTGATTATGATTCTGGTTCTTAGATAAGTGACCCAAAGCCAAGTCCTCTTTCACCTGGTGCCTCCCTCTTCAGCCTTACCCCTCACCTCTCTTTCCTCACAGTGTCTGTGAAAAAAACACAAACCACTCCTAGTTCTTGGAATACACTATGCTATTTTCATACCTCACTCCATTCTACATAGTATTTTCTCTACCTGGAATTCTTTCACCCACATTATTCATCTGGCAGACTCCTATTCATCCTTCGAAATGAATTCACACATCACTTCCTCTTTGCAGCCTTCCCTGATTTCCCCCTCTCCTCCATCCTCCACACTGAAATAAAATTGTTTCCTTCTCCGTTCTACTTCTGTGGCTCAGTACAGTCCTTACTGTGCCCTATTGTAATTTACTGGTTTGTATGTCTATGCAGTACTGTAACTTTCTTCAGCAGTTTTATTCGTATTTAAAGTCCAAGTACCAAGTGTTTTGCCTAACATATGATCGATACATACAGCTTCCTTCAGGCTTCTTTACAGTCTGAAAGAAATTATTTTTAATGATCTTTTTCTTTCTCTAATACCATAACTATATAAAACAAATTCTGATTATTTGTTATACAC